GTTCAACCCCCACCCGTTTCCTGGTATAGGACCTCATAGATGTAATGATTTCACAGTGTAATGACTTCACAGTGTAATGACTTCAGAAGTTTGTTGACCTAACACGTGTATAAGCTTCACAGATGTGATGTCATAGGTGTAGTGACCTCATAACTGTACTGACCTCACAAGTGCACTGACCTCACGAGTGTACTGACCTCACAAGTGTACTGACCTCACAACTGTACTGACCTCACAACTGTACTGACCTCACAAGTGTACTGACCTCACAAGTGTACTGACCTCACAAGTGTACTGACCTCACAAGTGTACTGACCTCACAAGTGTACTGACCTCACAAGTGTACTGACCTCACAAGTGTACTGACCTCACAGGAGTACTGACCTCACAGAAGTAATAACCTCACAAGTGTACTGACCTCACAAGTGTACTGACCTCACAAGTGTACTGACCTCACAGGAGTACTGACCTCACAGAAGTAATAACCTCACAAGTGTACTGACCTCACAAGTGTACTGACCTCAGAGGAGTACTGACCTCATAGGAGTACTAACCTCACAAGTGTAGTGACCTCACAGGAGTACTAACCTCACAAGTGTACAGACCTTAACAGTACTGACCTCACAAGTGTACTGAACTCACAAGTGTACTGACCTCACAAGTGCACTGACCTCAAAAGTGTACTAACCTCACAAGTGTACTCACCTCCCAAGTGTACTAAACTCACAAGTGCACTGACCTCACAAGTGTACTGACCTCACAAGTGTACTAACCTCACAAGTGTAATGACCTCACAAGTGTACTAACCTCATAAGTGTACTGACTTCACAAGTGTACTAACCTTACAAGTGTACTGACCTCACAAGTGTATTGCCTTCACAAGTGTACTGACGTCACAAGTGTCCTGACCCCACAAGTGTACTGATCTCACAAGTGTACTGACCTCACAAGTGTACTAACCTCACAAGTGTACTGACCTCACAAGTGCATTGACCTCACAAGTGTACTGACCTCACAAGTTTACTGACCTCACAAATGTACTGACCTCACAATTGTGCTGAACTCACAAGTATACTGACCTCAGATGTTTACTGAACACACAGGTGTACTGACCTCACAAGTGTACTGACCTCCCAAGTGTACTAACCTCACAGGTGTACTGACCTCACAGGTGTACTCCCCTTACAGGTGTACTGACCTCATAAGTGAACAGACTTCACAAGTATACTGACCTCAAAATAGTACTGACCTCACAAGTGTACTGACCTCACAAGTATACTAACCACAAAAGTGTACTGACATCAAAAATGTACTGATCTCACAAGTGTACTGACCTCACAAGTGTACTGACCTCTCTGGTGTACTGATCTCAGGTGTACTGTCCTCACAGGAGTGCTGACCTCAGATGTTTACTGAGCACACAGGTGTACTGACCTCACAAGTGTACTGACCTAACAGGTGTACTGACCTCACAGCTGTACTAACCTCACAGGTGTACTGACCTCACAGGTGTACTGACCTCACAGGTGTACTGACCATACAGGTGTACTGACCTCACAGGTGTACTAACCTCACAGGTGTACTGACCTCACAGTTGCACTAACTTCACAGGTGTACTGACCTCGCAGGTGTACTGACCTCACAATTGCACTAACTTCACAGGTGTACTAACCTCACAGGTGTACTGACCTCACAGGCGTACTGACCTCACAGGCGTATTGACCTCACAGGTGTACTGACCTCACAGGTGTGCTGACCTCACAGTTGCGCTAACTTCACAGGTGTACTGACCTGACAGGTATACTGACCTCACAGGTGTACAAACCTCACAGGTGTACTGACCACACAGTTCCAATAACTTCACAGGTGTACTGAACTCACAGGTGTGCTGACCTCACAGGTGTACTGACCTCACAGGGTGTACTGACCTCACAGGTGTACTGACCTCACAGTTGCATTAATCTCACAGGTGTACTGACCTCACAGGTGTACTCCCCTTACAGGTGTACTGACCTCATAAGTGAACAGACCTCACAAGTATACTGACCTCACAATAGTACTGACCTCACAAGTGTACTGATCTCACAAGTGTACTGACCTCACAAGTGTACTGACCTCTCTGGTGTACTGATCTCAGGTGTACTGGCCTCACAGGTGTACTGTCCTCACAGGAGTGCTGACCTCAGATGTTTACTGACCACACAGGTGTACTGACCTCACAAGTGTACTGACCTAACAGGTGTACTGACCTCACAGCTGTACTAACCTCACAGGTGTACTGACCTCACAGGTGTACTGACCTCACAGGTGTACTGACCTCACAGGTGTACTAACCTCACAGGTGTACTGACCTCACAGTTGCGCTAACTTCACAGGTGTACTGACCTCGCAGGTGTACTGACCTCACAATTGCACTAACTTCACAGGTGTACTAACCTCACAGGTGTACTGACCTCACAGGTGTACTGACCTCACCGGTGTACTGACCTCACAGGTGTACTGACCTCACAGGTGTGCTGACCTCACAGTTGCGCTAACTTCACAGGTGTACTGACCTGACAGGTATACTGACCTCACAGGTGTACAAACCTCACAGGTGTACTGACCACACAGTTGCACTAACTTCACAGGTGTACTGAACTGACAGGTGTGCTGACCTCACAGGTGTACTGACCTCACAGGGTGTACTGACCTCACAGGTGTACTGACCTCACAGTTGCACTAATCTCACAGGTGTACTGACCTCACAGGTGTGCTGACCTCACAGGTGTACTGACCTCACAGGTGTACTGACCTCACAGGTGTACTGACCTCACAGTTGAACAGACTTCACAGGTGCACTGACCTCACAGGTGTACTGACCTCACAGGTGTACTGGCCTCACAGTTGTACTGATCTCACAGTTGCAATAACTTCACAGGTGTACTGACCTCACAGGTGTACTGACCTCATAGTTGCACTAACTTCACAGGTGTACTGACCTCACAGGTGTACTGACCTCACAGGTGTACTGACCTCACAGGTGTACTGACCTCACAGGCGTACTGACCTCACAGTTGCACTAATTTCACAGGTGTACTGACCTCACAGGTGTACTGACCTCACAGATGTACTGACCTCACAGGTATACTGACCTCACAGGTATACTGACCGCACAGGTGTATTAACCTCACAGGTGTACTGACCTCACAGTTGCACTAACTTCACAGGTGTACTGACCTCGCAGGTGTACTGACCTCACAACTGCAGTAACTTCACAGGTGTACTAACCTCACAGGTGTACTGACCTCACAGGTGTACTGACCTCACAGGTGTACTGGCCTCACAAGTGTACTGACCTCACAGGTGTACTGACCTCACAGTTGCGCTAACTTCACAGGTGTACTGACCTCACAGGTGTACTGACCTCACAGGTGTACTGACCTCACAGGTGTACTGACCTCACAGGTGTACTGACCTCACAGGTGTACTGACCTCCCAAGTGTACTGACCTCACAGGCGTACTGACCTCACAGGTGTACTGACCTCACAGGTATGCTGACTTCACAGGTGTACTGACTTCACACGTGTACTGACCTCACAGGTGTACTGACCTCACAGTTGTACTAACTTCACAGTTGTACTAACTTCACAGGTGTACTGACCTCACAGGTGTACTGACCTCACAGATGTACTGACCTCACAGGAGTACTGACCTCACAGGTGTACTGACCTCACAGTTGCGCTAACTTTACAGGTGTACTGACCTCACAGGTGTACTTACATCACAGGTGTACTGGCCTCACAGGTGTACTGACCTCACAGGTGTACTGACCTCACAGTTGCACTAACTTCACAGGAGTACTGACCTCGCAGGTGTACCGACTTCACAATTGCACTAACTTCACAGGTGTACTGACCTCACAGGTGTACTGACCTCACATGTGTACTGACCTCACAGGTGTACTGATCTCACAGGTGTACGGACCTCACAGGTGTACTGACCTCACAGTTGCACTAACTTCACAGGTGTACTGACCTCACAGGTGCACTGACCTCACAGGTGTACTGACCTCACAGGTGTACTGACCTCACAGGTGTACTGATCTCACAGGTGTACTGACCTCACAGGTGTACTGATCTCACAGGTGTACTGACCTCACAGGTGTACTGACCTCACAGGTGTACTGACCTCACAGGAGTGCTGACCTCACAGGTGTACTGACTTCACAGGTGTACTGACCTCACAGGTGTACTGACCTCACAGGTGTACTGACCTCACAGGTGTACTGACCTCACAGTTGCACTAACTTCACAGGTGTACTGACCTCAGAGTTACACTAACTTCACAGGTGTACTGACCTCACAGGTGTACTGACCTCACAGGTGTACTGACCTCACAGGTGTACTGACCTCACAGGTGTACTGAACTCACAGGTGTACTGACCTCACAGGTGTACTGACCTCACAGGTGACCTGACCTTACAGTTGCACTAACTTCACAGGTGTACTGAACTCACAGATGTACTGACCTAACAGGTGTACTGACCTCATAGGTGTACTGACCTCACAGTTGCACTAACTTCACCGGTGTACTGACCTCACAGGTGTACTGACATCACAGGTGTACTGACCTCACAGGTGTACTGACCTCACAGGTGTACTGACCTAACAGGTGTACTGACTTCACAGGTGTACTGACCTCACAGGTGTACTGACCTCACAGGTGTACTGACCTCACAGATGTACTGACCTCACATGTGTACTGACCTCACAGGTGTACTGACCTCACATGTGTACTGGCCTCACAGGTGTACTGAAATCACAGGTGTACTGACTTCACAGGTGTACTGACATCACAGGTGTACTTACCTCACAGGTGTGCTGACCTCACAGGTGTACTGACCTCACAGGAGTACTGTCCTCACAGGTGTACTGACCTCACAGGTGTATTTGCACTAACTTCACGGGTGGACTGACCTTGCAGGTGTACTGACCTCACAGTTGCACTAACTTCACAGGTGGAGGAGTGGAAACTTCCGACAAAATGGATATTGACGGAAGAAGTGGAAGCTCGCATGACTCGGCGCCGCCACCACCTGGCACAGGTAATTACCACACCTGGCACAGGTAATTACCACACCTTAAACAGGTAATTACCACACCTTAACAGGTAATTACCACACCTGGCACACGTAATTACCACACCTGGCACAGGTAACTGCCACACCTGCACAGGTAATTACCACACCTGGTGCAGGTAATTACAACACCTGGCACTGGTAATTACCACACCAGCCACAGGTAATTACCACATCTGGCACAGGTAATTGCCACACCTGGCACAGGTAATTACCACACCTGGCACAGGTATTTACCACACTTGGCAGAGGTAATTACCACACCTGGCACAGGTAATTGCCACACCTGGCACAGGTAATTACCACACCTGGCACAGGTAATTACCACACCTGGCACAGGTAATTGCCACTCCTGGCACAGGTAATTATCACACCTGGCACAGGTAATTACCACACCTGGCACAGGTAATTACACACCAGGCACAGGTAATTACCACACCTGGCACAGGTAATTACCACACCTGGCACAGGTAATTACCAAACCTGGCACAGGTAATTACCACACTTGGCACAGATAATTGCCACTCCTGGCACAGGTAATTACCACACCTGGCACAGGTAATTACCACACCCGGCACAGGTAATTACACACCAGGCACAGGTAATTACCACACCTGGCACAGGTAATTACCACACCTGGCAGAGGTAATTACCACACCTGGCACAGGTAATTACCACACCTGGCACAGGTAATTACCACACCTGACACAGGTAATTACCACACCTGGCACAGGTAATTACATACCAGGCACAGGTAATTACCACACCTGGCACAGGTAATTACCACACCTGGCAGAGGTAATTACCAAACTTGGCACAGGTAATTACCACACCTGGCACAGGTAATTACCACACCTGACACAGGTAATTACCACACCTTGCACAGGTAATTACCACACCTGGCACAGGTAATTACCACACCTGGCACAGGTAATTACCACACCTGGCACAGGTGATTACCACACCTGGCACAGGTAATTACCTCACCTGGCACAAGTAATTACCACACGTGTCACAGGTAATTACCACACCTGGCAAAGGTAATTACCTCACCTGGTACAGGTAATTACCACACCTGGAACAGGTAATTACCAAACCTGGCACTGGTAATTACCACACCTGGCACAGGTAAATACCACACCTGGCACAGGTAATTACCACACCTGGCACAGGTAATTACCTCACCTGGCACAGGTAATTACCACACGTGTCACAGGTAATTACCTCACCTGGCACAGGTAATTACCACACCTGGTACAGGTAATTACCACACCTGGAACAGGTAATTACTAAACTTGGCACTGGTAATTATCACACCTGGCACAGGTAATTACCACACCTGGCACAGGTAATTACCACACCTGACACAGGTAATTACCACACCTGACACTGGTAATTACCACACCTGGCAGAGGTAATTACCATACCTGGCACAGGTAATTAACACACTTTGCACAGGTAATTACCACACCTGGCACAGGTAACTGCCACACCTGGTACAGGTAATTACCACGCGTGTGACAGGTAATAACCACACCTGGCACAAGTAATTACCACACCTGGCACAGGTAATTACCACACCTGGCACATGTAATTACCACACCTGGCACAGGTAATTACCACAACTGGCACAGGTAATTACCACATCTGACACAGGTAATTACCACACCTGGCACAGGTAATTACCAAACCTGGCACAGGTAATTACCACACCTTGCACAGGTAATTACCACACCTGGCACAGGTAATTACCACACCTGGCACAGGTAATTATCACACCTGACACAGGTAATTACCACACCTGACACTTGTAATTACCACAACGAGAAGCAATTACTACTACAGAAAAAGCGTCCTTCCTCCAAAATTTCCACCAGTCAACTATTGTGATAATATAGCATTTATTGTGGTGGAGACGAGAAAAAAATAGAAAAGCTAGATACAGCGATTGATAAACAAGGGTTGAGGAACGACCGTTCGTCACTGTAGGAGCTGCCAGAAATCACCGGTTCTTCAACACGTAGGTTATACTTTTGTATCAATCAAATCACATATTACCCGGGTAGATAATTTCCAGTAGATCCTTCATGTGTTAGCCCAAATCACCGACCAGTATGTTTTAAATAAGTGACCCACTGATCAGATCAGATCGACTGGTCCGAACCCTCGACTGGTCCGAACCCTTGATGGTCCGAACCCTTGACTGGTTACAAACGGTTTCGTTGGACAATAAAGCAGACTGTAAACGGATGGGGTTGTAGCCGCCCTTATCAAACACAAACAATAAATATAAATCAGGAACGTACACGGTAAGCTGTCCAATATACAAGTACAGTTAGAAATAGAAATACAAATAGCTAGAGCTTCATTTAAGGAGGTTATTAATAGAATATTCAAGAGGTTGCTAGTGGAATTACAGTAAATCAACCATTCAAATCATTATGAAGCTCTGTGTAGTCTGCGGTCAATCAAACAAACGGGCTTCCACATGGGTAAATTGTCATTTTTGTGGAAATTGGTGTCACGCCCCTTGTGCAGATATCCAAGAACTAGCCACAAGCAGTATTAAAACAGGGAAGTGTTTTTGGGTATGCCCAAATGAGATAAATCTGTGGACTAAAATCACAAGGGTATTAAAAGAGGACAACATAAAAGCTGCTTTCATAGACAACCTGGAAGCTTTCTACAACAGATGGGAACATAAAAAGTCTGGGCTGAATGGTACTGCCCTTGATACTGGCCATGTAGTCAGAAACTGGAGGTGAAGTCCTGGTAGTCAGTAAATGTGGGGCTGATAGTGCTGTCCTGGGAGACAGTAATGGTGAAGCTGGAGGTGCTGTCCTGGGAGACAGTAATGGTGAAGCTGGAGATGCTGTCCTGGGAGACAGTAATGGTGAAGCTGGAGGTGCTGTCCTGGGAGACAGTAATGGTGAAGCTGGAGATTTTGTCCAGGTAGTCGGGAATTATACGCAGGAAGGAATACATATAAATGACCTCATAGGGGACAGGAGCCGTAGTAGGGAAACAAGTGTAGTCAAAGATAAGATAAAACCAATATTGCAAACTAGAAATACCGCAGGAAATAGCAAACAAGAGGACTCCATTAGCAATAGTGAGGATATATTACCAAAAACAACTGGTGGGAGCTCCATTGTTAGTGCTAGAGAGGATAGGAGTAAGACAGGGAAACATGCACCAACAGGAAATACAGTCACAGAAACCCAAGGCAAACGGAAACCAAGCCTGTGCACACACTATGCACTTGGTATCTGCCGGCATGGGAAATCTGGAAAAACAGATGGAACGTGCAACTATGACCACCCTAGAAAATGCCATGCCCATATGACAACAGGAAAATGCAAACTCCCTTCCTGTAAGCTTTTTCACCCTGAACTGTGTACCTCTTCAGTACAGGAAAGACTGTGCTATAACTTAAATTGCCAGGCATACCATCTAAAGGGGACAAAAAGATACAAAACATCCAGGCCATGGGAAAACCTGGGTAGCCACAGCCACTCAAGAGGGAGAGGTTTTTTAGTGCCAGGAAGGAAAAAAAAATGGCAGGAAATGGCAGAAATCGTACACCAAATCCAGTCATTCCTGGAGTGGAACCACAGTCGATGGCCTCCACTCCAAACCAACAGATACAGATACTACTGCCGGAAAAAAATCCCCCCCCCCAGTACCAACAATACCACCAGTCCGATAACATTCTTCTTTGCAAATATACAGGGTCTAAAGCCAGCAACAAACAACAAAATACCTTTCATCCGTGGACTGCTTGCAGAGGCAAAGGCAATGTTCGCGGCTTTCACTGAGACCCACATAAGGGATCACTTGGACAACGAAATATGGATCCCAGGTTACAACCTATACAGATGTGACAGAGTGAACAGGCAAAAGGGGGGGGGGGGTGTTGGCCTGTACATTGCAGAGTCACTTGTTTGCACAGAACTGCTTAATGCCTCAAATGATGTAGTGGAAGTTTTAGCAGTAAAGGTCGAGAACCAAAACCTAGTCATTGTGGTAGTCTACAAGCCTCCGGATGCAACATCCCAGCAATTCCAGGAACAGCTGTTAAAAATTGACCACTGTCTGGAAAATCTTCCAGCTCCTGCACCCAACATCTTGCTCCTGGGGGATTACAACTTAAGGCACCTAAAATGGAGGAATATAGCAAATAATATTGTTGCAGTAATAACACCAGGAGGCAGCTCTGATGAAAACTCACACTCACACGAGCTTTTAAATCTCTGCACAAAATTCAATTTAAACCAGCAAATAATAGAGCCTACTAGACTGGAGAATACACTAGACCTCATCTTCACTAACAATGATGATCTGATAAGGAAATGTCACCATTTTCCAAAAACAATATACTCGGGAGCACAACATAATTGGGGTTTTCAGACATGTATGCGTGGAGCCCCAACCGACATAATGAGACTAGTCACGGGGGAGGCATTCACCAAATTCAACTTCAATAAAAAAACATAAAGTGGGACCAAGTAAACCAAGTCCTAACCGATATAAGCTGGGAAGATATATAAGCAACACAGACCCAACTTATGCCTAGAACAGATTAATTTGGTGGCACTCGATGTATGCACAAGGCTTATTCCTCTAAGAAAAAGGAAGAGTAAAATGTAAAATAGAAAGAGACAGGCGTCCCTTTACAGGCGACGGAAAAAGAATAACAGAGCGGCTAAAAGAGGTCAATATATCTGAAATGCGTAGGGAGACACTGGTCAGAGAAATAGCAAGCATCGAATTTAAAGCTAAAGGAATCTTATAGGAGTCGGAATCGCGGGAAAAGAACTAAAAGCCATAAATGAAATCGAAAGAAACCCAAAGTATTTCTTCTCTATGACAAATCAAAGTGGGAACAACGTCCAGTATTGGGCCCCTACTTAAACAAGATGGGTCCTACACAGATGACAGCAAGGAAATGAGTGAGCTTACTTAAG